ATAATCAACATATAATGTATTCAATATAATTTACTTTTATTCATTATTATAAAATATTTTAAAATATTTATATTATGTACAGCATAGTCAAGCACAATTACCTTCAACAAAAAATCTAATTCACTGTATTCCAAAAATATCTATTATTATTATTATTTAATTATTAATAAGTGTAATCTACATATAATGTATTGGATACCATTTAATAATATTCAGTATTGTTTCAATTTTAAAACCTATGATATTGTTTTCAAGATAATCAAGCACAATTACCTTTTAACAAAATCTCATTCTTATTACTGTAATTTTAAAATATATCATTATTATTATTATTGAATTAATATTCAATATAATGTACAAACAATATATTAAATATAATTTAATTATATTCATTCGATACATCTTTCATTCATGTTTGAAATATAACAATCAATATATTGTTATTATTGTTTAAATAGTCATTAAAATAATTCAATTCTATTTACATTTGAAAATATTTATACGTATTTTATTTATACATTTCTTGTATGGGCATTTATTCTGCATTCTGAAAATAAATGGGGGGGGGTGGGCAATCATTTCTTCAGTTACTGTATTATAGACAGGACAAATCATTGTCTTGAAATGATGTTTTGTTTGTAATGTCTGGTTGATATTTTTCATCCATTTAATCTACATTACAGGGACTTTATGGACCCCACTATGGACAACACCAAACACATCCTGAACTACCTGATGCCCATAATCGAGAGAGTCAACCCTGAAGTGTACGACTTCATGCAGCAGTGAGTAGACGTTGTTTCGATGTTTGTCTGCATGTTGAAGCACAATGGTTGGATTGTTTTTTTTACCACATTCATCATTCTGTAACTTTAACAGCATCTCCTGAAAGAATGATGACCGGTGTTCTTTATTGGCTTGTATAGTTTGAGATAAATGTCTTTATTTTGTCTGCAGAGCCGAGGTCGGCACCATTTTCGCCCTCAGCTGGCTCATCACCTGGTTCGGACATGTGCTGTCAGATTTCCGTCATGTGGTTCGGTTGTATGACTTCTTCCTGGCCTGCCATCCCCTCATGCCCATCTACTTTGCTGCTGTGGTACGTTTCCGTTTGTCACCATTAAACCATCTTCTGAAGCTTTGAGTCTCTGGTTTCTGATGTTCAGCAGAAGTGGGTCAGCTATTTTTAGGCCTGAATCAGGCTGTGTTGTTCCTTCTGAATAAATAATTGACACATTCTTTCATGTCGAGACTATTTGTCTTTTGAACAGTAAAGTACTGTGTTCTGCCACCTGCAGTCTTCATAAACCTGGAGTTTTGATGTTTGACAAGAAGTAGGTCAGAGACTAAATACTAATAGCTTTATATAGAGTGAATTCCACCACCAAAAAAAAAAAAAAAGAAGAAATAATATTTTGTGTAAAGAAAATTAAACAGCCCAGTTTAGGATCATTAAGATTTTGGTTTAATATTTAACATTGTAAAATTAGATATGGTTTAAAAAAAATTTAAATCTCATTGTCATTACCATAATGCAAAAACTCATTGTTATTACCATAGCAAGAAGTGAGATGATATTTAATATTTTTAAAAAAATTCATTATTACTTTAACGCAAAAAAATCTCATTGTCATTACAGTAACATCAAATATTATATAGTATTAAAAAAATCATTGTCATTACCATAATGCAAAAAAAATAATTGTTATTTCTATAGAATAAAGTGAGATATTTCAGATTTAAATTTTTTTTTATTGTCATTACCATAATGTAAAAAACCTCATTGTTATTTCCGTAACATGAGGTGAGATATTATTTAATATTTTTTTTTCAATCTCATTGTCATTACCATAATGCAAAAAACTCAATGTTATTACTGTAGGATGAAGTGAGAGATTATTTAATATTAAAAAAAAAAATCTTTATTATTACTATAATGCAAAAAAAAAAACTCATTATCATTAAGTAACATAAAACTTTATATTTAAACAATTAATGTCATTACCGTAATGCAAAAAACCGCATTGTTATTAGAGTAACTTCAAATTGAATATTATTTAATATTTAAAAAAATCATTGTCAGTCTCATAATGCACAAAAATTATTAACTTAACATAAAACAAGATATTGTTTGATATTTTTAAGAATCATTATTACCATAATGCAAAAAAAAATGTATAAATTAACAAAAAAATGTATTAATTAAAATATTAAATCATTGTCATTACGTAACAAAATATTGTCATTACCATAATGTAAAAAACCTCATTGTTATTTCCGTAACATGAGGTGAGATATTATTTAATTTTTTTTTTTCAATCTCATTGTCATTACCATAATGCAAAAAACTCAATGTTATTACTGTAGGATGAAGTGAGAGATTATTTAATATTAAAAAAAAAAATCTTTATTATTACTATAATGCAAAAAAAAAAACTCATTATCATTAAGTAACATAAAACTTTATATTTAAACAATTAATGTCATTACCGTAATGCAAAAAACCGCATTGTTATTAGAGTAACTTCAAATTGAATATTATTTAATATTTAAAAAAATCATTGTCAGTCTCATAATGCACAAAAATTATTATTAACTTAACATAAAACAAGATATTGTTTGATATTTTTAAGAATCATTATTACCATAATGCAAAAAAAAATGTATAGATTAACAAAAAAATTTATTAATTAAAATATTAAATCATTGTCATTACGTAACAAAAATCAAGATATCATTTAATATATAAAAAAAATCATTACTGTAATGGAAAAAAACCTTATTGTCTTTATAGTAACATAACATTAGATATTATTTGCTATTTAAAAATCTGATTGTCTGTATCATAATAAAAAAATCCCATTTACATAAAACAAATAAGATTAAAAATTGTCATTGTAATTACCATAATGCAAAAATCTTATTCTCATGAAATATTTTCTAGTAGTAGCATAAATTTAGATTATATTTAAATTGTAAAGTAAATTGTAAATACAAATTTGTTAGTAGTTACATAATAGTAGTATCTGTTTTAATACTACCATGAAAAATCCGTTTTAAAGTGTCATGTTTAAAAATGTTAAAAATGACTTGACAGTGAGATTTTCACATTAGACTACGGATAAATAAAATTGAGAGATTTTACATTATCAATATACATAATAAGATTCAGTAGAAATCCAAAAGCTCGAGCACAGTCTGACTCTATTTCAAAGCAAGCGTCATTTTGTCTCTTTTCAGATCGTGCTGCATCGAGAGGAGGAGGTGTTGGACTGTGAGTGTGACATGGCCATGATGCACCATCTCCTGTCCCGCATCCCAGAGGACCTGCCGTACGAGACGCTTATCAGCCGCGCCGGAGATCTGTTCGTCCAGTTCCCTCCGTCTGAGCTGGCCAGAGAGCGCAATCAGCTGTAAGCCAATCTCCCTCACTCTGAATGTTTTCCTCACAACAAACATGTCCCACAAACCACTGTCTTTTGTCCAGGACTGCCGTCTCCACCTTCAAAGACTTCGAGCTGGCGTCGACGCAGCAGCGTCCGGACACAGTGCTCCGGCAGAGACGGAAAGAGCTGCAGCACGCACTGGAGGCACAGCGAGGAAGCGTAGCAGTCGTCCAGCCCACGGCGCGCCGCTTCATGCGTCTGGCGGTCATGGGGTTGACTGTGGCACTGGGGGCCGCCGCTTTAGCCGTGGTAAACTCTGCCCTGGAATGGGCTCCGAAACTAGACTTACTCTTCCCGTGAAGGAGCCAAACCACAGCATCTCGTTTTGAGGACTGAATATTGTTATTTTACCTTTTTTTTTTTTTAGTATTTATACTTGTCAGACTAATAAATAAAATATTGTGCGGGTAGTTACTGTAATTAAACAAGATTTTTTTTTCCCATCGAATGAGGTGTGGATATTGAGCAAAGTATATCACTTTCTTCAGTAGACGATAAAAATGTTTCCTGGATGTACAGTGGAGGTATGTACACTTCACGCCTCATATATGAAACACGATCTGAGCTAATTTTTGTGTATATAGTTAAAAACATTCTTTTTGTCTTTCACACAAAGATGACATTTTGCTGCAAATATTCTCGCTCTCAGCAGTGAGCCTCTTGTGTGGCTTGCAAAGTTGCTGCCTTTAGAGTATTCCAAATCAGTAGCTGTGAGTGTTATCTAAAATTAAAATTTGATGTTTTTGATAACTGAAATACAGCTAAAAATAAAATAAATATTAGATGAAAAACGTACACTTGAAAAGCTAGAAATGTTGCAACTAACTGAAACTGAAGTACTAAAATTACTAAAAAATGAAATAAAAATAAATGGCAATTAAATAAAATTACATAAAAACAAATAAAACTCACAACATTTAAAAACTAAAGAAGTTATGAGGTTGCATTTAAATGATTTAAATGATAATTTGTTGAAAATGTACTTACCTCAGGTCATTCAAGATGTTAATGAGTTTGTTTCCTCATCAGAACAGATTTGTAGAAATGTAGAAATACATCACTTGCACACTACTGGATCCTCAGCAGTGATTGGGTGCCGTCAGAACGAGAGTCCAAACAGCTGATAAAAACATCACAATAATCCACAAGGAATCCACACCACTCCAGTCCATCAGTTAATGTCTTGTGAAGTGAAAAGCTGTGTGTTTGTAAGAAACAAATCCATTAAGATGTTTTTTACTAACTTTTAACTGTTGCTTCCAGCTACAATTCGAGTCCTCTATTCAAAATATTGCTTTCTCCAGTGAAAAAGTTGTGTTATCAGGAGATAAATATGGACTCTCAGGACTATTTAAATCATGGACTCATATTTTGGTCAGAAGCTATGTTTTAAATTATTGTGATGTTTTTATCAGCTGTTTGGACTGTCATTCTGACGGCACCCATTCACTGCAATGAATCCATTGGTGAGCAAGTGATGTAGCCTAATACAAATTTTCTCCAAATCTGTTCTGATGAAGAAGCAAACTCATCTACATCTTGGACAGCCTGAGGGTGAGTAAAATTTCAGCAAATTTTTATTTTGGGGGGGAACTATTTCTTTCAAAATTCATGTACATTATATGTTTAACAGTTTATCAACTATTTAGTATTGACATTGCTCATAATACAGTTTTTATCTAAACTGTCACACTAAATAGAATGCAACAATTGAATAATGATAGTTAGAAATTTTCTTTTAAAATTCAAACTGAATGCAAACCGTTTACATAAGTGTTTTTGTGAGCCATGTACATAACAATAGTTTAAAGGAGTTTTTGCTTTGAAACTCATGTACAAAAACAACATTTATGTACAGTGTTTAAAAAACATTTTTTCCATAAATTGTCAAACCAAATTCAATAATAGTTTGCGCAAGTCTGCTTGTATAAAAATCCTTTGTAAAGCTTTTTCCTTTTTGCGACAATTTGTTTTAAATTCACGTACAAAAACAACATTCAAACAAAAACTCAAAATCAACAATTTCACAAGAGCTTTTTTAGAAATGTATTCAGAAATTTGCTCAACTTGTGGTTCATGATTGAGACGGCATGTACTTTGTTAAATAAAAAAAATTTAAAACTAATATATCGAGACCAAAATATATTTAGAGCCCTTGTTTGTAGAATTGGAAATTGAATCTAGTTCAGGACCCCTTATGGGCAGGAATTTTTTTTTGTCAAGTGTATGTAGAGTTATGAAAGAAACAATTTATGAAAGCAGTTAACGAACCATCTTATTATGTTCATAATTTGTATGTTTTTTTTTTAAGGTTATTTTTCACTACATTTCAGTTTTTTTTCTCTCCGAATCACCTTAATTACTGTATTTTTGTGATAAGTGCTGATCTTAGTACATAACGTGCCGTTTTCACGAATCTCAGCTGGAATTGAAACCACTTCGGAATAACTTCAGCTGATGAACAAACTTGAGATTTCTTGATTCTGGAGTGTGTAATCGTTGAATGTGAATTTGGTAGTTTCTCTAATTGAACTCCAGATCGGTGTTGAATCATGGCACATAGTTTTTTGTTGTTTAAATGCTGATCGTTTCCATTAAACATCATCTTCTAAGCTTAGAGTAACATTCAAGTGGATATTTTTCAGGATTCTAACACTGCTTGGTTGAAAACATTATTGAATCATGATTTATTGAAATAACATGCTGCCATCCATACAGCGCTACTGTTTATGCTTTGATTTTGTATTAATTTTGCACTAAAGAACACGCTTCTTGCTTATTTTTTGCACTTTGAGAGATTGTCATAAGTTGTCTCTGGTTCGCTCAAGTTAATGTGTCACAGTTGACCATGTTGCTAAATACGTTTAAATAAAAAGAAGAGATAAATTCTGCATTGGTTTTATGTGAATTATTATTTACATTGAGTTGTTTAAAGGTGATTTATTTAATTTTATTTGTATAAAATAATATATAAAATAATTTGCATAAGCTCCATTTTTGCATACCAGCTGCTTTATTGAATCATAAAATATTGTAAAGAAAACAATATTGTCAACAACATACTAAAAATGCTTCAGCATTAATAAAAAAATGGAATATAAGAAAATATTGGAATATTTTTATTATAATAATTAAGCATTTTTAATTCATCATAAAAGGCGCAACTACTCATTTGATTACAAACTTGCATTTTTCTACATTTAAATTAATCTTGAATATGTTGTTTTCTTCTGTTGTTACTTCACTGTTCCATATTGCATATTTTGCTATGATATTACAACAACAAAAAATCTTTGGATTCTAAACAAAAATGGCCTTAAAAGAAATCAAGATTTAAACACAATAATGCTTTCCTCTTACTATATCATTGCACAAAGTCCCAGAGCATCAGTTTGCCAGAAAATGGTAGTGATTTAAGACCATTTCACGTATATTTTCAAAATGTCACTTTTTCATCAGTTTATACTATCCCATGAAACCTCAAATATTTTAATTTTGTAAACATGTTCTGAATATTTAGTCATAGAACATATCAATTAAATACAGACATCTGGATTAATGTGCCAGTGATATGACTAGACTTAACGAACATATTAAAGCAATAATCGCAAACTGTATGTTGCACATCAGCCCTACCTGGATTATTTTATAAGTGTTTTTTTGCTGTAGCACAGGTTTTTGCTTGTTGAATCAGCAGCATTCAGCGATGCCGCCGGTGTTCAGTGGCAGTTCTGGCAGCGTGGATGGCAGAGGACTCCGTTGACTCGACATCTGCAACCACCTGATGTGTCTCCAGCACCCTGAGGAACCAAAACCAGGTCCAGGTTAGCCATCTGATGTTTGTGAATCACTGAACTAATGATTTATGTAGTTTAGTGTCTGACCTGAGGTCCCCATCGGGCTTGTTTGGTCACCCAGCAGATCTCGGTCTTACACATCAGACAGCAGATCCAGTCACAGCCGTCCTTCTTCTGGACAATCACCTGACATTTGGGACAGTTCATCGCCTCGCCGTTCTTCAGGAGTTGCTGGAAAGGAAATCAGTCAATAGGTAACAAATATTTTAATGTTGATTCTTGTTAGTGTATTGAAAACATAAAGTGCAACCAGTGAAGTCTGATTCCCGAACCAATTAATTTTATGAATTGGTTCTTTGTAGGGAATCAGACATAAAGCGCAAAAAGTGTAGCCTGATTCCCAAACAAGGACTTTTACGAATCGGCTCTTTTTAGTGAATCAAACACATACAGTCTGACCAATGTGGTACGATTCCCGAACAAGTGGCTTTTGAATCAGACTGTTTTAGTGAATCGAACATATATATATATATATATATATATATATGTGTGTGTGTGTGTGTGTGTGTGTGTGTGTGTGTGTGTGTGTGTA